GGATTTCATCATTTATTTTGCCTCTTTCTTACATATTTCAGTTCACTGGCAGATCTAATATAGCCTTTTGACTAGATTTGCTATTTTACAATCATATGGGAGTCCTAAATTGTGCTGTAAAACTACTCCTAAACATGGAATATGAGAAAAATGTGAAGTACTGTGTGTGTACGTGTGTGCGCGCAGTGGGGGAACAATCCTAATTTTGTCTATAAAAAGATAGCCTCATAAGTAACTGTTAATATTCAGGATACAAAGCATTATAACAGAGAGTTCAGTGAAATACTCTATCAGTGCTCAGTCGTAGTCAGAAAGGAGAGGAAAAGAAAACAGCGAGAAGATGCTATTATGCTACAGTATAAACCTATGGAGCACCTGCAGTTTGAATAATGTGTACAATCTAGTCCCTACAGCTCAAAAAGCACAGGAACTGAAAAAGCCTAAAAGAATGGCATCAAACATAATCAAGGCAGGAAAGGGTTTCCATATGAAGAGTGACTGATTAGATTGTGACCTGAAAGTCTGGAAAGACACCATGCCAGGGAAACGACAGGTGTTTAAAACCATGAGTGACTTGGAGAACATGAATAGATTGCTTACTGCCTCTTCCAGGCAGTGGGCATGAAATTAAATTCGCAGGTGACAGATTTATAAAAAACAAAAGGACTTGGTTCTTCATCCGGCAAAGCTTCAAGCAGAGGAAACTCCCCGATGCTGCAGAGGCTAGAAGTTTTATAGATCTTCGCAGTCACAGTTTGAACCCAACAAGAGCTAGGCTTTTAACCACAAAACCAGCATAAGGCTTTTTAAAAGCATGTTCTGGGGAAGTATCAGAGTATGTTTGCTCTGTTGTTATCCTTTTCGCTCTGCATGCATTACTGGCCAGTATGTGAGGCAAGAGGTAAACACTACATTTATTGTACCCGCTGCCAGTGAGAGGCGTCTACCTCTCACTGAGGTACCTTTCTGGCAGAGGCACCCAAAGCAGCTGTTAGCCAAAGCATGTCCTTCTTGCAACCAGACCGAATCAACTCATCGGCCCAGGACAAAACACCTTTTAGGGGACAGAACAGGCCAGCACACGGGAGCACAGGTGTCTGAAGCAGCAACTTCAGTGGTGCAAGAACTCATTCATTGAATTCAACCCATTCACTTCAGCAAGTGAGCTTTTTTGTCCCATGCAGGCTCAGTGCCTCCATAACTTGGGACCTAGAGATGCAGCCAAAAAGAGATAGCAAGGTTCTTGCAGCCTCCAGGAAAGAAAAGAAGGTACAAGCATAGCAATAGTACAATCTGATGCCATCTTTTGTGTTCTGTATGTTTTACATTAACTATGAATTTAAAAACTAGGTGTGGCCAATGAGGTGCATAGAGGCTGGCTTTCACACCATTTAGAAAGGCATGGGTTTTTTTTGCTTTCTTTTTTAGAAGTTAAATTCACCGTCACATGTCTGGCTCTTACTTGACAAGCTCGGGTGTGTGTGGTAGATGAGAAAAATTCTCTTTCACCTAACTTCCTTAAGCATATGATGATATATATTCTATATTAACTTCATAGGTTAGCGGGCTAGGGAGGAAAGCAAGTCAATGAGAGCTTGTGTGTAAGTAAAAAGGGCTTTACTAATCAGTAATTCCATGTAAAGGCTGGTTCCTTTAATCTCATGCAAGACTACACTTTCACATTTTAGCTATGCACTCCCACTTTAGCCTTTTTTTTAAAATTTATTCAATTCTGAAAAGGATTCCCAGTCTAAAAGGTTTATAAAGCGCTGTTTTAGGTCACACTGGTAGAGATTGGGAAGTCCACCCTAAAGAACAGCTGCTTCACAGCTGCACTCAAACGTGCAACCTGAATTCTTTATACACGTCAAACACCTATACCTGGGTATCAAATGAACTGAAAGCAGGGTTAAGGTTTGTGCTTAAAACATGACTTGAAGAACTGGAGATAGTCTTAGTCAGCTGCTATATGCTAGAGCTGAAAAAATAATTACAGACTAGAACAGAGCCTAAGAACGCATTTGGATATTACAGGTCTGTATGTGATGAGGAGTATAAAGCAGTGAGGATTAAACGTCAGTCTTAGCAGTGATTTCCTCAGTTTTCTGATTGCTCCGATAGGCAACGTACTTCAGCATCCATCCTTTATATTAAATTACAAGAGCTTAGTTGAGCTTTTCTACAAAGTAGAAAAAACTCAAACTCACAATCCCCATGAACATTCTTTTAATTTTATGTATCTTAATGCTTACTTAATTTCCCATGGAAATCCTTCAATATATTACTACAGATTATCCCAGGGACTGAAGGAATACATCACAAAACAGCTAAAAGCATTTAAAGGAATTCCAGTTACTCTGGCTTCTGAACTGCTTGAAAATTAGCTTGTGTGTGATCTTGTCCATCTGACTGGCTGATTAATGTTCAAATGGTCCTATTAATGCATATACACATTAGATCACACTTATAGTTTAGGGCTTAGCCTGTCGTTTCATATTACTGCATAAAGCAGTAACCATGCTCATCTCAAAAATTATTTTCTTTGGTACCATATTTCACATAACTGATGCAAACTGGCATTCAGTCCTAGCCCTCAAAACAAGGCAGGTTACCTGATATAACACTGCATAGTATGTGCAATTATTTACAATGTTTCAAGAAATCTTCACGAAAGAGCATACCCCTGTTTCAGGTAGCCATAATTAATTCTCTGTAGTTTTTTTTTTTTTTTAAACCAAACTGTAACCGATCAAACTCTATTTCCTCAGGTAGAATTGCAATTCTTGAAAATATCTGTTTTTTAGAGCAGGCAAAGTTAACAATTTTATCAATTTCAGCTAGAGATAATGCATATTTTCACTGCATGAAAAAATGAAAAAAGTAACCTCTTCCATCAGGAGTTTGCTCAGGCTCTTTTTTTTTTTTTTTGTCTCTATGGTTTTCAATAAAAGGTATCATCATATTTCATACATCTCAGACTTTGCATACAGTCCTCAGACTTTCTTTCTCCAGTTAAAGAAGGTGTTGTTTGAATGTTTCTCTTTAAGCATTTATTTCTCCCTTCTCCCAGGTCTCTTCACTGCAGTTA